GCTCTTAGATCTTTTTTTCCCCCCATACAAAACAATGCTTTTGAGATTCATCTATGTTGCTAAATGTATTGGCAACATTTTTCCTTTTTGGGATGGAGTGCCACATTTGGCTGTGTTCAGGATTTACTCCTGACTGCTTAGGGATCACTCCTCTTAGAGGTGCTTAGGGGACCATATGTGGGTACTACGATCAAACCCAGGTCGGCTATGTGCAAGGCAAGAGCCTGAAGTCTTGTTCTATTTCTACAGCCCAGCAGTTTATTTATTTTTCTTGACAGGGAGCACTAACTTCATTCACTGTACACATGTAAAGTAATTTTTTTTCACCTTTTCACATGTGGATGAATATTTGGTCATTCACCAAGTGCTGGTTTTTGAATATTATAAATAGGACTTTGGGTTATTTATGGCGAATTATATGAATGAAAGTTTGGTGTATCTCTTCAGTAATTATCTAGGAACTGAGTTGCTAAGTCAAATAAGTGCTTTCATATACATATACATATATATATATCTTATATATATATTTGCTTTTTGGGTCACACCCAGCAATGCATAGGGGTTACTACTGGTTCTGCACTCAGGAGTTAACTCCTGGCGGTGCTCGGGAGACCATATGGGATGCTGAGAATCGAACCCAGGTTGATCTCATGCAAGGCAAACGCCCCACCTGCTGTGCTATCGCTCCAGCCCCTAACTATATTTTTTTTAAAAAAGTCTGACAAATTAGTTGCCAAATAGTTCTATCATTCCCAAATTTCCCACAGCAAAGTTTGAGAGCAGAAGTTTTTCCACAAACTCTCTCAATCCTTAGTATAGTCAAGCTTTTTAAGTTTAGCCATTACTGAAAAGGAAAAAGTAGAGACCAAATATGATTGCCACTCAATGCCTCTTTTGCAAACCACAACACCCAAAAGGAGAGAGAGAACAGAGGGGAATGCCCTGCCACAGAGGCAGGGTGGGATGGGGGGGATGGGGGGTGGGAGGGATACTGGGATCTGTGGTGGTGGGAAATGGGAACTGGTGGAGGGATGGGTATTTGATCATTATATAATTGAAACCCAAGCACAAAATTTGTAAGTCTACAACTGTACCTCATGGTGTCTCACTAATAATAAATAAATAAATAAATAATTTTTTAAAAATTGGAAAAAAATGCTTATAGGTCTGGAGAGATAGTACAGGGGCTAAGGTTGTTGCTTTGCATGTAACTGACTCCAGGTAAAAAAGTAAAAAAGTAAAGGCCCTCCCGTTGATCATCGATTTGCTCGAGCGGGCCCAGTAACATCTCCATTGGAGACTTTGTTGTTACTGTGTCTGGCATATCGAATACGTCACAGGGAGCTTGCCAGGCTCTGCCGTGCAGGCGAGATACTCTTGGTAGTTTGCCGGGCTCTCCGAGAGGGGCAGGGGAATCGAACTCGGGTCGGCCATGTTGGCTGTGTGCAAGGCAAACGCCCTACCGCTGTGCTATCGCTCTAGCCCCAAGTGACTCCAGGTAGACACTGCATAGTCCCTCAAACACTGCCTGGAGCAATCCTGAGCACAGAGTCAGAAGTAACCCCTAAACACCGTCAGGAGTGGCCCAACAATCTCCCAAATATTAATAAACGGAAATATTTTAGTAATAAGCATTTGTATGTGATTCAAGATTCACAATAGTAAATGAGAAGCACCCAAATTGTATCCAAGACTTCATGATCAAAGGCCTCTCAAGAAGTGTTGGAGGTCACACTAAAGAGATTACCTGCACGCCACCCCCACCCTACTCCCCCACCCCTGGCCTCTGTTGATCCTCACAGCCTTCTAAGGAAGTGAGACTGAATCAGAGAAAGAGAAGCCAGAATCACTGTGTGTCCCAGTGCAGCTACCATCCCTCTGTCAGATGCATTCTCCACCCCAATGTCCCCAGTTTCACACTAGGGACCCTCTTCTCTCAGTCCCCATGTATCCCCAAGCTTCTCCTCACTCTATTTTTCCTTTCTCACCTGTTCCCAGTTTATAATTACGTTTACTTAAGTGACTTGTTAATCATCTACTGTTCCTTTTCTGCCCTAAGAGGAAATTCTCATAGTTCATCTCATAACTGTGCCCCTGGCACCTAAAATACTCAGCTCAAAAAACATACTCAGTACTTGATTAATTGGTAAGTAAAACACTCCCCAATTGGAGACGTGACTGATGTGCCTTCTAAGCTGCACATCAGTCTGAAAAGAAAAGTCGCGACATCTCTCACAAATATACTATAAACCAAACTGCAAACCACTTGGGTTCCAAAGTAGCCTGGCTTCCTCCTGCTCCCATTTTCATAAAACTACCAACTCTAATGTCAGGTCTACTTTATCAAACTAACCTCTAGAAATTCTAATGCATGAGAAGAACAGAAGATCTGCCCCCATTAGAATGCCACATACAAAAAAGTCATTCTCATCTTTTCAGACTTTAAATCTCAGGTTACTATTTTTCCCTGGCAGTGAAAATGGTTGTCCTGTTTCGTTGAAATGAGGCAGTTAGAAGCCCTACATCCTTGCAGGCTTCCTCATCAGAAACAGCCTGACAAGACCATATGCCTGAAATGCAAACAAAACTGCCCTCGTTTCCAGTTTTAGGTATGTGCTAGGCAAAACCTGACAAACCAATGAAATAGGTTAAATAGTTCATTAACTGTCAAGGCAGAAAACAAAACAAGCATTGTTTATAATAATATTTTGAGCATTCCTTTTTAAATCTGATATTATAAAACAAAAATTTTATCTAGGCCCACGATGTGTTAAGTGTTTTGCAGATCACCGGGAAACTTCTGCCTATATGTAGCAGTTAAAAACTATTCCCGAACACCCTCCTTCTCTTCAACTATCTTCAAGAAATTTCAAGGAAACAAACACTGAGAAAATAGAGCCCCAAGAAAATTAGAAACTTTATGTGTCAGCCCTCATTCGGCTCAGCCCAAACAGAACTTATTATAATACTTTCTATTCATAAGGAGAAATTCCAGAAATTTGTTATTAAATAACATTTAATAATATAAAAATAATTTTAAGGGGCTGGAGCGATAGCACAGAGGGTAGAGCATTTGCCTTGTCTGCAGCTGACCTGGGTTCGATTCCCAGCATCCCATATGGTCTCTGAGCAACGCCAGGAGTAATTCCTGAGTGCAGAGCCAGGAGTAACTCCTGTGCATCGCTGGGTGTGACAAAAAAAAAATTTAAGGTGCAGAGACATAGTAGGGGTAGGGTGCTTGCCTTGCATATGGTTCCTTTTGTACCAGGAGTAATAACACAAGGAACCAGTTGTAAGCCCTGAGCACAGCTGGGTGTGGCACAAACATCAGCCCACCCCCAAATAACTTTAAGACTCGAATCTCATTTAACAAAATACTAGAAAGGTATTAGGAAAGGCCACTTTTATTTTTTGTTGTCATAATATATAAATTAAGCACCTTTTAGAAATCAGACATTACCAAATGCCCTATAAGAAGAACCATAATTTATTAACCTAATCCATATTTGGGACTAAGGAAGAGATGAAGGAGCTGGGCTATGGCTCAAAGGACTGAAGCAAATGCTTTCCCTGTGGGATTTCAGGCTAGATCCCTGGTATAGCACAGCTCCCCTGAAAACTTCTGGGAGCCATCTCTGAACACCTTGCAGCACCCCACCCGCACTACTTCCCACGCCATGGCTGTTGAAGCAAAAAAATAATAGCAACAAAAAAGAGACAAACGTTTGAAGATAAATTCTCTCATACTAATTTAAATAAATGTTTTCCTTTTAATCACTGAAAAGGCATTAACCATGGTTATGTTTTTCTTTTAAGTTAAAATAAAGCTTTATCTTCTTTACATTGTTTTTATGGAAAAATTTTAAAAAACTGTTTCCCCTGAAATAAATTATGACAAATTTAAATGATCAGAAGCTTAATTTGTGGGCAAATGAGGAACAGCTAAAAATATGTTCAAAAACAAAGTTTTTTTCCCCAAATCATAAGTGCAGGAAATAGTAAACTAAAGTAGGTTCTCTTCTTTCATTGTCCAGATACAAAAATTATCAGCTATATTATAATTGCCAGGTGTTCAGATTTACAACATTGAAATTCCATGAAAAACTTTCCAAATTTTATCTTAAAAACTGGGTATAAGGGCCGGAGCAATAGTACAGTGGGGAGGGCATTTGCCTTGCATGCAGCTGACCCAGATTTGATCTCCCCTATTCCATGCGGTCCCCCGAACACCAGTTAGGTAGGGTGTTTGCTTTGCATGAGGCTTACCGAGGTTCAATTCCCAGCAGCCCATACGGTCCTCAGACCACCGCTAGGAGCAATTCATGAGTGCAGAGTCAGGAGTCAACCCCTGAGCATTGCCAAGTGAGGCAAAACAAACAAACAAACATAACACCTCACTATGAATCTACAGTAACTCAGATTTCCTACAATCACAGAGGGAAAAAAATCCAAACAAAATTCTAAGCTTAATAGAACAGAGGCTTGTTCTTGACAAGAAACAGCTGTCAGGTACCACAGTAACTGGTGAGTTGAGTCTACTTTCTCACATTCCATGACACATCCATATTTATCTTCAGGCAAACCATTACTGGTGATAGGCAACTGTTACAAAGAACTTTTGTTGAATCTCAGGCAGTTAGAGATGACAAGCAACCAAATATGAGGTCTTGCTATGAAACAAACATCCCAGAGGATGGCCCACTTTCTGTCAATACCCTAGTGAGGGAAAACAGTAATTAAGAAATGTGCCTACTAAGCCCTGCACTGAAGCTCCTGCTGAATGGGGCAGTATGCTAAAAGCGAATGTCATTCATTACCTTTTCCATACAGAACAACCTCAGAAAGAGCAATGTCACAAATAGACAAGGTTTTCAAGAAGACCAGAGAAATAGGAGGAAAAGAAGAGCAGAGATACTTATTACAGGTATACAACCCTCCTGAAAAAGAACTGTACAGAAATAGAAGAGGTTTTAATAATATTACTATCTCATTTTTCTTACCTGATAGGCAGATGTAAGTCAAATATTCGCCTTGACCCCCTGTTGCCAAGAATGGAATCTTTTTCTTGGTCCTCCTCTTGACTTGGACAGCACCCAGCATCCTTTCATCGAGAGGTGCAAAAATTTCTTTGCTGATGGCAGATTTGGCACTCATTGTTGAAGCAAGGGGTACACAAAGTGAGTTTTCTAAAAAAGGAAAAAGGCAAGTTGGAATCAGCAATACCATAAGAGTCTATGAAAGAATTCTGATTTAAAAAAAAAAGAATTTTCACTTTCTGGTGAAAAAGTTTTCTATTTGCAGTTGAACTTCCACTTACTTAAAATGCATTACACAATTATCAGAAGCAAGGCATTCGCATTTTTAATAAGTCTAAAAAACTACACAAACAGTTGTGAAATACTGATGACCTTAAAAATGTCAAACAACAATGAGAGACGAGCAGCATGAAATTGGCTCTAGAAAGTTGGTCAAGCTCTATCCAGCTGCACCTAATTCTAACTGGCAAGTGGTACCCATCCTTATTCCTAATTCTGTAAGGAACATGGTTTCACATTTCCAGTTGAGAAGTTTTTCCTTTTCAATATCCTTAAAGTCAAGAAGTTCTGTCTATCCCTTCACAATATCCTTTAACTCTAATGTGAATCCATTTTCCGAACTATCTTTATAATGGAAATAATTATATCATCTTCCATACATACATAACAACTATATGTACAACAAAAGACCATTTACTTAATCAACTTTCTGTTGATTAAATCAGCTGTTCTGGATCTGGCTAAGTCCCACATCCAGATAAATAACTTAATCCTTATTTATTAGCAATTTTCCCTGGGTACTATTTTCTGGTTCTCCTTTGCATCTCCGCTGCCATGCTCTGGACACTTGCTAAGCTCTCTACATTTTCCTTCAACTAAAGTGAACACAAATTTCTAAAAACGTGTCTGACTAATGGTTAAATATTCTGTAAATGTTACCCAGAAGTTCCCACATGTTTTGCTCTGGTAGTTAACTGGCAGTGTGTTCCTGATAATTAAGATAAAGCAGTATGCTGCTGACTCACAAGGAGTGCACCCCCACTTCCAAAATACACATATACCATCACGTGCTATATTTCATTTTCTAAATGTTGTACTTTCCTGATGATTTCATTCTGCTACATGTGCATATGTGTATCTATTGTGCTCAAGAACCTTATCATCCGTGAAGCTCAACAGCAACTTGGATAGACATTTTATATTCTGTCATCCAAGTCACAGACTATGCCTAAATCACTATGCTGAAACCAGACATGTGTTCAAGCAATTAACTAATCAGAACTAAATATGCTGAGGGATACTAACTATAGTTGGCCAGAAAGATGATAACAACTTCGAGCGCTTGTTTTCAACCTTTTTTTTATGCCTCAGGACTAGCACCTGTACACATGCTGGCCAGCAAATAATAACCACTGCAGACCAGTGGTTTTTAACTTCATATCTGAAGACTGGCACGAGTCTGCATATCATCAGTTGAAAACCACTAGGATAAAGTATTGAGAGATCCTCATATGACAGCAGCACAGCTACACGGCTTAACAGCAGCTCAAAGAATTGCTCATAATGTGTAAGACTGAGTCAATTAGTAATCATCCACTATATACCATCTCTATGTTCAGCATTTTAAGATGCGAGAACAAATATAGGGTTCCTGTTCTCTTAAGAGTTGACTACTGACTACACTGAAGTTTTTACTTAAATCCAGATTATTTATAACACGATCACAGGGCATTCTTCCTAATTCAATGCTACCACTCTTATAATTCACCTGTAACTGGGCCACATTAAGTAAGAGATATCTTCTTTAAAGTATCCCTCTGGTTAAGTTTCTCCTAGTTTCAAGTCAGCAATTGAATATATTTTCTGAGAAGTACCAAGTATAACTGGCTTTTTATTACTATTTATATTTAGAGTTCTATGCCCAGGTCTATTTGGGCCCTGAACGTAGCATTTCATCACTGCCACTAACTCAGTTCTTCCTACTTGGTTAAGAACAAAATGACACCATTGTAGGGCCTCAGCTTCAATGTAATACCAACTATTTGCCCTGCAGTTGTTGAGACATTAACAGAAAAAAAATTCCTCCACTATGATTTGTCCCATAATCTTCCTAGGCAGACTATTATAACTAAGAGGGACATTTTCTTAAAAAGAGAAAACTTATGATTACTATTTCTTTTCTGGCCCTACTGTTAGAAAAGATGAGATTTTGTTTTGAAAGAAAGTGGGGGGTGGCCAATGGTCTCAAACATCCTATAAGTAATGTCAAAAGTCATATTTCCTGAGTGGAAAGATAGTATAGCATGTGTGTCACTTTGCAAGAAGCCAAACTGAGTTTGATCCCAGACACCACACATAGAGCACTGCCTGTGATGATCCCAGAGCCTAGGACCAGGAGTAAGACCTGAATATTGCCAGGTGTGGGTCCCTAAGAAACAAACAAACCACTCATATTCTCAAACTACTTAGGGATCCTCCAGCCAACACAGTCCTAACCATCATATGGCTTTTGCTTTTCCATTTCAGATTCACATGTTTCTAAAACTGTGGTTAATGCTAACAGTCTGTCAGGGGAAGAAAAAAAAAGGAGGACATGAGTATTTTATCAAATTCATAGGAGATTCTGATCCCTTTTTAGAATATAAAAAATGGAAAAGACATATATATATATATATTTAAGTTACTAATAGTTAATGGCTAAGAACAGTCACAAAACTAAAAAACCCAGCTTCATTCAGGGCAAGTTTTAAAATCAAACCAACCTGGTTTTGAATTTCAGCTCTAAGACTTCAGGCTTGTGTGTGACAGAGTAAACCTCTCAAAATTCCAACCCCCTGCTATACTAACTAAAACATAAAGATACCTTTGCCTGCCTCATTGGACGTGTTGAAAGAATTAAGTAAGATGGATGTGTGCAAGTCACTGATTCAGTGCCTGAATCATGAAACACTGAGGGTTTTTCTTTGTTCTGGAGACATACATAGCAGTGCTCAGGGCTTACTACTCCTGAGTCTGTGCTCACGGATCACTCCTGGTGGTCTTGGACAACCAGATGGGGTGCTAAAGATTGAACCTGTGTGGGCCGCATGCAAGGAAAATACCCTACCCACTGTACTATTGCTCTGGCCCCATAAAAATATTTTTAAGCAGAAAAATTTCTAAGTTTCCTACAATGTGACAAAAGTGAAAGATACTCTGAACTTGGGTTGGAGCAATAGCACAGCGGGTAGGGCATTTGACTTGCAAGCAGCCAACATGGCCGACCTGAGTTCGATTCCTCTGCCCCTCTCGGAGAGCCCGGCAAGCTACCAAGAGTATCTCGCCCGCACAGCAAAGCCTGGCAAGTTACCCGTGACGTATTCGATATGCCAAACACAGTAACAACAAGTCTCACAATGTTACTGGGCCCGCTTGAGCAAATCGATGAACAACGGGAGGACCGTGACCATGGCTCTGAACTTATAAAAACTGAGCAAATGTAACCATCCATACAGAAGTACTTGTTATAAATAGACATTCAATCATATTTATGAAAGCCTCAGTTTTATATGAAAGCATCAGCTCAGATCAAGCCCTCTAAAGAGATAAATTGGTATAAAGTCCTTCAGAGAGATAAATTACCAATTATTTGGAAAGCTTTGTACTGTTAAAAGATATGAGGAACTTACAGGCAAACCCTTAGAAAACTCACTTCTAGAAAATTATCAGACTTATTCTACATGAAATAGTCAGAAAAATATTTCAGACATGTGTGGCTGTACACACCTGCTCACTCATATATGTTTCCAAGGCATGTATCAGATGCCTTGGAAACAGGAATGTACAATGGATTAGAAAACAAAGAAGCAGAACGTCAAATGCTGCTTCATGGCTATAACCTTCAAAGGGCATCTCCCAAATCTGACTGCAAACTGAGTTCAGCATGGAGAGCTTTAAAAAAAACCATACAGACTCCTGGGGCCAGGAGATAGTCCAATCGCTAAGGTGTGTGCTAAGCATGCATCCAACCAAGGACTGATACCCAGCACCACATAGACCATCACTGGAGGCTCCTTGCACCAATGGGGTGGCCAGAGTATATGCACAATTTCAGGACCCAAAGAGCATCACATCCTCAGGCCCTCGAGCTAAACCTGTGTGCATCATAAATAGGGACCCCAGACTTCCTAAATACCCCCTAGATCCCACAATGAGGATAAGGGGATCCTCCATCATATCCACCCAATCAAAATCTGGAGACCTGTATATTAAGCAACTCTTTAATTATTCTTCTCTGCAGCCTTACTTGCACTGCTCTAAAAGTCAAGGAACTATGGGGTTGGAAAGGAATACATTCTTAGGAGAGATACAGGAAGATGGTATACAGGATTATTTCTCTGGGTTCCCCCAAAGTTTTATCAATTCTTACAACTTATGCTGACAAATCAATGACTAACCCAGTTCTGGGACCCCCACTGTAAGGCAGCAAGATGAATGCAACAGCAGCGATGTACCAAAGTTACTTCACCCTTCATCACCCTGAAGGTCAGCAAGTAGAACAGGTCACCCCCAAATATAGCACTGAAGCAGACTGAGCTAAAGGCATCTAAAATAAAAAACCCAGCAAAATATAAAGAGGCTTTCTCTGAAAACCTATTGTTCAAATGACACTGTCTCCCGAAGAACCCTAGCTGTCACAAGTGCCCTCTCCAGGAGCCCCATCATCCAGGGAGGACAGACTCTTTCCAGGAGAGGAGATAAAGCTCACATAATACTCAGAAAATCTTGGTTACAATCAATCTTCCCCTATCAATTCATCTAAGGTGCCATTAATCATTTCTGAAAATCACATTCTCTCCTCTAAGATGCCCACGTCCTTCTTGCCCTATGCCCCATAACCAAGAGAGTATTCTTTCTGAATTCTAAGCCATGCAGGGAAGTTACTTGTTTTCCCCTGAACTTCCCCCACATATTCATGTGTTACAAAACCTCATTTTATGTCTCTTGCTAATCTTTTGTAACAGAAGTTTCAGAGAGGTACCCAGAGAGGTAAAGGGAATATTCTTCCCCCCCCCCCCCCCCCCCACTTACAATGCTGGGGAACTTTTTTTTTTCTCTTCCTTGTCCACAGCTTCCATAGGCTATAATTACCAGGTTTTTTCCATCCAAGA